TTTATTTCCCTACATTTAAATGCTTCTATTAAGTGATCTATTAGTATAAGTTTAATTTCAATGCATCAAGATCATAAATTACAATTTATGTAGCCCAGGTATTAAGATTTTTAACTTTGAGCTAGAAAAGAGCTAGTTCAATTTCAAATTATTTCACTGAAACTTATTAGAAAAATCCTGATTACACTTAAGGAAATGTGCTTGAAAATGCTTTGGGACACATTCAAGATCTACTGGTGCCAGGAGGTACCAGGGGAACAGGTATATTCCCTCCACCTCCTGCTCCAACTCTGGGCCTGCAGTCAGGATGGATGCCCTGAGCTTCACAGGGTAGAATCCCTGCCCCTCACCTGCATTCTCCGTGCTCCATGGTGACCCTTGTGCCTTGATTTCCTCAATTATCCCTAGTGAAGTTTTCTGTTAATAATGACAAGGGGGCTGGAGAGATGGCTCAGCAGTTAAGAGCACTGGTTGCTCTTACAGAGGACCTGGACTCAATTCCCAGCACAAGTGGGATAGCTAGCAACTATCCATAACTCCGGTTCCAGGGAAATAGGATGCTCTCTTCTGACGTCCAAGGGCATTGCACAACACGAGTGCACTTACATACATAAAGGCAATACACTCATACACAAAACTTAAAAACAAATCAAATATTAAAAAAATAACGATTTCGAACTTTAAGGTCCATGTGAGAACTGTGAGACTCTAATGAGCATCCAAGACCATGAGAAGTTCCCTGTACTGAAAGCACAGTAGTAAATGGAAAGGGGCTTAACTGTAATGACCAGTGATTCCTGAAGACAGGGAAGTGGCTCAGGACAATGCAGAGAACTTCGGCTGACTGGAATTTCTGTGCTATGACTGCATTCGCAGAAAATTCACTGGAAGCCCTGTGTCAGACTCATAGGCTCCTTTCACAGGAGAGAGACCTTTACATGCAGCTACATGGATGTTCCTTCCTCAGCATCTCAAAATGTGACAAGCCATGAAGAAGGAAGACAAAACACGGTGCAGCAGAGTAGACTGAATGCCAGTGGACCAGAGACGGCGGGACCAGGATGCTCAGTTATAAGGTGGAACTGGGGCTAGAATGCTGATCTACAGACTGCCAGCCACGCAACTCTGACTGACCACTTGTGCCACACAGTTAGGATCATCTGTTATCCGCCTTCCGTGGTGATATGGAAAAAGAACCCTAATTACATCTTATAAACTTGCCTAGCTTGGAAACCAACAACTGCTTATCTGCTTGCCAGTCGTTGTGTTTGGCTGGTGGATTCCGGTTTCCCTTGGCACCACAATGAAGTTATTCTGTTGGCAGACACGGGGAACAATAAGTGATCCGATTCTTTCTGCAAGAGAGTTTTATTTTGAGAACCAGTTATTAGGAAACATTTCAACAGTATTCCAGCTTTGATGACAGGCACAAATTATCTAGAAATAATACAGAGAAATTCTCTGCTGGAACTTTGTAAGGTTTTAGTCTACTGCGTAAATGCAAGTACATTTCTGGTCAGTCTAGCTGAGAGAATTCTCTCCCCAAGCTGTTTATTACAAGTAGGTAAAGCCTTTGAAAAACTTTCTGCTATGGTTCTGTGTAGGAAATTACTTGTGTTCCCAACATGCAATTTCCCCTCAGCTTTTTGTTTGTTTGTAAAGAAGATAGATTCATTCAAATAAATCCACATGTGACATTTAAAACCTTAGAACTGAATTGCAAACCAATGTAAAAAAAATAACAAATTGATTGCGTCTCGGCTTTTTGGATAAGATTACTTGGAAAAATATCAAATTGAAGCAAAATATGGTGGTGAACGCCTTTCATTCCAGCACTTGGGAAGCAGTTAAGAGCACAGGCTGCTCTTGCAGAGGACCTGGATCAGGCAGATTTCTGAGAGATCTAGGCAGCGTGGTCTACATAGTGAGTTCCAGGCCAGCTGGGACGTGGTTAACCTACCAAGAGTCCCATCCTTAAAAAAGACTGTCTCAGCCCCTCCCAGCTGGCATCAGTTGCACAAGGTTCCTTAGGTTGGGCTGGGGATTCTCACCCACTTCTTCATGTATATGTTGGGATTTTGTCTTGTTTGAGCTTGCGTGGAACTTGTGTATGCTATTACCACTGCTGTGAGTTCACACTAGTAACTGACCAGCTGTCTGGAAAACTCTGTTTCCTTGTGGTCATCCTCCACCTCTGACTCTTACAAATTTATTGCCTTTCTTCCACAATAACCCCTCACCCATGAGAGGCAGAAACTTGATATAGGTGTCCTATTCAGGGATAAGCACTCTGAGGTCTCTTGTTCTCTGCACATTGGCCAGCTATGTGTTTCTGCTGCATAAGGAAACTTCTCTGGTGAGAGGAGAGAGATGCATTCATCTATTGGGTATGACAATGCACACCTTTAATCCCAGCACTTGGGAAGCAGAGGCAGGCAGATCTCTGTAAGACTGAGGCCAGCCTGGTCTACATACCAAGTTCCAGTCAGCTGGGGCTACAGTGAGACCCAAATGGGGGCGACTAAAAATATGAAAGAAAGGAAGAAAGGAAGAAAGAGAGCGAGAAGGAAAGAAAGGAAGGAATACATACATACATGCATAATTAATTAATTAATTAAGGCTTACAGAGATGGCCCAGCAGTTAAGAGCATTGGCTGCTCTTGCAGGAGACCTGGGTTCAGTTCCCAGCACCCACATGGTGGCTAACAAGCATCCATAACTCTGATGCCATCTTCTGGCCCCCATGGGCATTGCATGCGTGGGATGATGTGCATGCAGGCAAAATACTCATACACATAAAAGAAAAATAA